TTAAGAAGGTTGAACATGACTGATGTGTTATGATTATCTGAATTTGTGGTTTCTCATCCAGCATGTAACATGCTTAGAAGTCATCACACCCATCCATACAACAAGAAAAAACCTGAATAAACCAAAAATCAAAAACTCTTATGAGATTTACCAAAGAACTGAGGTCACAGGACAAATCACTGCCCCCCAAATTGGAGAGACAGGCAGGCAGAGATAGAGTATTACAACTTACTGGAGCAGAAGCTCATGAGCGGAAACCTCTGTGGGAATCAGTAAGTGGGTAGGAAAATCTAAACTGTAGTTGGCAAATTGCTGGAGGCTCAGTGTGGACAAGTTTGAGTATTAAAAATTTCAGGGGGACCCACATTTTTGTTTTACTTTTAGGAGCACTATCATGTTCTCATGGTGAAGATTGGAACAAAATTCCTTTGTGATCCTGGTTGGGGGAGGGGGAAGTCAATTTGAAGTATATGTAAAATATTCTGTTCTTCTTAACAAGGCCTGCCATTACAAGAAACCATTTTTCCAGAGCCCAACAGGCTGGGGTTTTGCCAGAGCCTAACTGACTTGGGGGAAGGGAAATACCCAACTTTAGCCCCCTTTAGGCTTCCTGTCTCAGCTAAGGGGGCGGGAAGAAAACCTCAGAGCACTTGTGAAGGTCATGGTGCGGGGGCACAGGCTCACTAGAAAACAGGTTAAATCACAGAACTATAGTGCGCTTGCCCTCCCACAACACCTTGCCATCACTTCAGTAGGGCTCCTGTAAAATAACAGGGGAGTACAACTAAAGGAACTTCACATTGGAGATCTTATTGAAGAAGTCACTAGGGATTCCCAAAGACAACAGGGGAGACAAAAATAAGGACTCCCAAGGAAATATTAGCCTCTGACTCCTCACAGCTACAGCAAACAATAAATACAGCCTAACATCTAGCCAGATAAATATAAAACCTTATGCTAATGACCTTTTGACCTCAATTCCTGTACCCAGTAAATCATGTCTGTATTTCAACAACAAAAAAAATTACAAGGCACACTCAAAGACAAAAACCACACTTTGAAGAGACAGAATAAGCAACAGAATCAGACTCAGATGTGACAGGGATGTTAGAATTATCAGACCTGGAATTTAAAAGAGCTATGATTAATATGCTAAAGACACTAATGGAAAAAGTGAACAATCTGTAAGAATATATGGGTAAAGCAGGCATAGAGATGGAAATTCAAAGAAAGAATAAAAAAGAAATGGTAAAAATCATCAAAAGTGTAATAGAAATAAAGAATGCTTTTTGATGGGCTCATCAATGGACTGAACATGGCTGAGAAAATAACTCAGTGAGCTTGAAGAAATGTCAATAGAAACTTCAAAAACTGAAATACAAAGAGAAAAGAATGAAAAAGAACAGAATATACAAAAATTGTGGGATAATTATAAAAGGTGTAACACACAAATAATGGGAATATCAGAAGGGGGAAAAATGAGAAAAGAGCAGAAGAATATTTGAAGCAATAATGACTGAGAAATTCTCACAATTAATGATAGACACAAAACCATAGATCCAGGCAGCTCAGAGAACACCGAGCAGAATAAATAGCAAAAAATCTATCTCTGGGCATGTCATATTCAAACCACAGAAAATCTAAGACAAAGAAAATATCTTGATGGAGCAAGAGGAA